CTCAGAGTTCTCCTGCGAGTCCTCACTAAACTTAGCAGTGAACTTGACCAGCCCAAAGACTTGGTGGTGTGCCTGCGTCCTGGGTCTAAAGAGCTCGTCTAAAACTGCTCGCTGGCATTGCTCGGATTTTCATATATTTTGCTCCAGAGGCAAAAAGCGCTCAACCCCAAGGTCTGCGGACTAACCCCAGGCGAGGGCAGTGACAATGAAAACTGCCCCGGTCACACTTGAAATCGCACTCCTGAATGAGGGTTCTAGCAGCCGGGGGAAGCCTGCCGCACAGCCCCTGCCGCACCCCGGCCCGGCCTCCATTAAGAATTTCGGACATGCCGAAAGCTCGGGGGTATTTTTAGAAGAGCCTGGTTCCTACAAATGAGGAAGTCTGGCAGATGGCTCTTCCGCCTGGATCTTTTTTTTCTAGCTTTCTCCCAATACCGTGTGGAGAACACTGGCCAGGCTCCTTTCTCTGAGGACAATGGGGGGAAAAGCCATTCTGAAAACACTGGGCAGCAGCTGCAGGGCTCGGAGTCTCTAAGGACGCTGTGCCACCGGCCGGGCATGTCACCCTCCTCGCCCGTGACGGAGGCTAATCGACAGGGGGAGGCAGGAAAGGAAGTCTGAGCAAGAACGAGTCATTTATCACTGCGCGAGCAAAGACATCTGTGCGGGGCTGTATTCCCTCTGCCCCGATAAGAGCGTTACTCACCACCCAGAGAGGAAAGACTGCAGCGTGTGGTTGCAGCCCATTGAAACCACTTCCTTAAATGGCATGACATCAGATTTCATCTTATAGATGGTTTGCGCCAGTTTTTTGAAAAACAAGCTATCATTAACAAGGGGAAAGTGCCCTTCAGAAACCGAAGTATAGCCTTGTTGTGAATTTTGCGTGTATTCAGATTGCCTTTTGGCCTTAGGTCTGACAGAAGAATCTATTGGGACCCAGAAGAGTCTGCTTTGGAATATTAAACCCTTTCTGGGGATTTTTTTTTTTTTTTTAAGAAATCTATTGCACTCACAGATTGAAGACACAAAACAACCTGATGTCAGTCTCGAGTGAGGTGGCAAGCTTCTCCTTTCATTTTTAAATCTGATTGGTTTTGTTCATTCTCTGATTAAATTCTCTTAAGAGTGCAGATGACACAGGTTTCCAGGGAGGAAGATTTCTGATGCATCTCACACACAAGAGTCATCACTCCCAAGATTTTGCTATTAAGAAAAAGGGCCACCCCTTTCCCTCCCCATTTACCCCTGAGCATTCCAAAGGCCTATTGGGTTTTCGTTACCTGGTGGGATCCTGGCCTTCTTGTGCCTCTTCTAATAGAGAAACCGCAGTAATGTCCCCAGAAGCCATGACAACATGAAATTGTGGCTTAGATACTAAGATTTACCAAAGTCTGCTCCAGGAGGCTCCCCACTTCCCTACACACACACACACACACACACACACACACACACACACACACACACACAGTCTGCAGAGAATTCATCCTGCAATCATAGGAATACTCTGATTTTGTCTGCATTCACTTGGTGAGTCTTCAAAACTGACTTTTCCCTCATAGAGATTCAATGCAGAAGAACTAACCCCCAGAGCCTCAGAAGAGTTATCAGGTCTGAGAAATAACCTTTTTCACCCACGAGGCTGTTCTGTGATGGGCCAGCCCTCACTGAGCTTGCCTGTCCCGCTGGGGAGCCTCATGGAAATCCCACTGGGTCATCCCCGTGTTCCTTCGGAGGCTCACCAGCAGGTCAACAGAGTGGCCATCCCTGGGCTCATTCGGGCCCCAGTGATTTTTGTTGCTTCTAGAAGTGTTCATTTTCAGTTTATCCAATATTTCAAGCATACAATAAAGTTCAAAAAATCATTTAACAGAACTTCATGTATCTCCCTAAGATTTTTCAAGTATTAACATTTTGCCATTATATTAGATTTTTAAGATAAAATATTACAGGTACAGAGAAAAATCCCTCCTTACCTAATTTCCATTTCATTTTCTCCTTGCTACCCAGAGTAACCACTAACTTGAAGTTTATGAGTATTATTTCCACTTTATTGCATATATGTGACATAGAAAAAATATATAACGTTTTAAAAATGTATATAAATGGTATATCTACTTAATACCACTTGTATACTTTACTTGAGTCTTTTGAAAGCTTCTTGTAATACTCATTTTAAGAATAGTTTTCATATTGGTACATTAAAATTGAGTACATTTATTTTTTAATGCTATAAAAGATTCCATTATAAGATTATACCATAACATAACCATTTCTTTATGATGGACATTGGAGTTACAGCATTCTTTCAAGAAATACATAATTCCTATTTTATATAAACTACATAATATCATTGAAAAGAGAAAAAGTTACCCAATTCATTTTATAACTCTGATTTAACCTTTATACCAAAACTAGACAAGAAGAGTCGGTTAAGAAAGAAAAAGTGTGGGCTAAACTCACATTTGAATGTAAACGTAAAAATCTTCAGTTAAATATTAGTCAAACGAACCCAGCCATGTGTAGTAAATTAAGTGTATGCAAAGTGTGCGAGTTATTAATGTGACTCATCACATGAACAGAATAAAGGAGGGAAACAATGATTTTTGTGTAGATGTAGAACAATCATTTGATCAAGTTCAATAACTATAAATGACTTAAGAATATGAAACCTTCAAAAACCTGGATAGAAACACTTCCTTAACCTGATAAAGAATATTGACCAACACTCCCAGCAAGCATGCACTTGGTGTTGAAGCATATTGTGTAGTGCCTCCCCTGGGAGCTTATTATAAATGCAGACACGGATTCCACCCTGTGGAGTTCCCTCATTGAGTTCCCTCTTTTCTTTCAATGATTGCTATTACTTTAAATAATTGTGTATGTATGTGTGTTTTTTAGTTTTATCTATTTATATAGATGTCATTGAGTGTTTTCCTTAAGTTTGTGGAATGGGGGCTATGTCAGCTCAGCAGCTATGGTGCTGGAATTTCTCTCTCTGCAATTTTCTGGGCCTGAAGACCCAAGAGACAGCAGAGACCACTCTGGAGGAGGCGGAGTAGTTGGGCTGCCATAGAGTTGGCTTCTCTCCTATGCCAGGGAGTTGTTGCTATTCACACCTTCTTATTTTGGCTTCATCTGAGAAGCCATTATGATGGATCTGATGAGGATAAAAATATTGTATGAAACCCCTATGACTGTATTTTACCATAGCCCTTCCTAAGGATTTGATATTTCCAAGATTCCTACAGTGCCATCCTATATAATAAAGATGTAATATGCAAATGGTCGTTACGTAACGACTGACGGCATAATGACCGGATCACGGATCAGTAGGAGGGTGGGGCAGCAAGCTTCAAGCAGGTGGCGGAGAGCTACAGGAGGGCGTAGGGCAGCAAGCGGTGAGGGAGGAAAGGGGGGGCAGGGGGCAGTTACAGGAGGGCGGGGCAGTGGGCAGAGAGCTATAGGAGGGCAGCAGTGAGCTAGTGGCGCACGTATTCATGCGCAGGGCTACTAGTTGAAATATAAAAATACTATTAATCATAATATTGCCATCAATGTCACACTTCTATTTAACATCTTTAAAAATATGTTTCATGGTGGTTCTCAGGGTTGAAGATGGAGAGAGAGATGTTTCTAGAAAGCACTTTTCATGATAGCAAACAGACTTTCTCTAAACTTTTCTGTTAATGAACAAAGGATTCCAGTGACTGTGAAGAGCAGCACAGGGCCTGGCCATGCTGAGCCAAAGGACAATCAATACATTCTTGACTGTAAGGTCACATGCATTAAACAAGGCAGTTCTGATGCCAAATCAATCCTGCATTGTATATTTCCTACAGCAGATATTGAGATATAGATCTGCTGTCGGGGGAGCAAGAATGTCATCAGGAAATATCAGTTCAGACAAATCTGGGTTACCACCCGCAGGGAAGGACCTGGATTGATTGTACTCTGTCTCACTCTGTGGTGAAAATGTCAGGTCAGAGTGAATATTCATGTAGCCCTTGGAAAGAGGGAAGGAGGAATCAATAAACTAAACACCCTACCTAGTAATGGAACTGTTTTCTCCAAGGCGAAGTCCTTTGTTCTTGAACTTGGTATTCCTGTCCCTGATATGTTGGTAATGTTGTCTTAGAAATGCAGCAAAAAGATTTCATAGGAAGCTTAAGGGCAGATTTATTCCTTAATTCTGGAATAAGGGTTATGTTAACATGGTTCTGTCTAGGCCAGTGGTCGGCAAACTCATTAGTCAACAGAGCCAAATATCAACAGTACAACTATTGAAATTTCTTTTGAGAGCCAAATTTTTTAAACTTAAACTATATAGGTAGGCACATTGTTATTAACTTAATTAGGGTACTCCTAAGGCTTAGGAAGAGCCACACTCAAGGGGCCAAAGAGCCACATGTGGCTCACAAGCCCCAGTTTGCCGACCACGGGTCTAGGCATTGCACTAGAAGTCTGGTTAAAAATTAAATGAAGTTTCTCTTAATTCCAATGAGCAACCTAGACTCTTTGAAGCTATGTCAAGAGAGTACCAGGCAAAAAAGAAATCCTGTGTTTTTAGTCTTGATTTGCAATTCACTTGTTTTGTGATCTTGCAAAAGCTACCCAGTCTCTGCATATCTCTATACCTTGGCTTGTATGATAATATTCTATTTTTCTTTGTAGAGTTGTTGCACAGGATATAATAGATGACATACATGTGTTAGAAAACAAGGCCAGAATATGAAGGTAGTTGCTCCCAAATCATGGTTTTGGCATTTGTCTAAATTTAATAGACTCACCTCTCCTAACCACACCCAAGAAATCTCCTGCCATGTATGTGCATACGGTTTCAAAAGAGCCCCTGTTCTCTCTTCCCAAAATCATTTTTTCAAAACTTGCTGGCATAGGTCAGGTTTCAAGAGAGAGCATAATGCGTTCATGGTCAATCGACCTGGTTTTTTACTTGAAACTAAATTAATCACTTTCATTGTTTCTTCCAAAATCTTCAGGCACCTTTTAAAAATGAACAAGAGCAGCTCTGACTTGGAAAAAGTGAGCCAGGGCTCCGCAGAGAGCCTCAGCCCATCCTTCAGGAGCGTCCACGTCAGCTTCACCACGGGCTCCACGGACAGCCTGGCCTCGGACTCCAGGACCGGCAGCGATGGAGGTAACAGACTTGACCTTGACAGGGAGGCTTAGATTCTCCGGAGTCTGTAAGGCCAGGCCCAGGTTAACTGCCAGAATGTGGAAGGGCTGAGCTGTGGGGAAGCAGGGCACTTGGTTAGAAAGTCTGCAAGGTCGGAGGCCTCTGGGGGACCTTGCCGAAGGCAGCAGCCCCTGCCTTGACTTTTCCAAACAAGTCTGACCCCGCCCCCCAACCCCCCCCACCCCCCCACCCCCCGTGTTTTACTTTTACATCTAGACTTCAAAATGTCCTCGTTTGAAAGACACTACAGATGCAGGTGCTTTCTCAAGGATGCTTACCCTGCTAATTGTATCTAGAGGTTAATTTTGGTTCAAGCTGTTGTGACAATAAAAGCCTAAGGAGGCAGGTGAACGAGGCTTTTTGCTCCTAAAGCAAAACAGCCCCTTAGCCTCTCTTTCACAGAAACATGTGTCAGAGTAATCTATTCATCCGTCGCTCAGGGTCTGCTGGTCAGCCCCGGCACTGAGCTAGACCTACTTTCTGGGCCCTGCTTTCTCCATGAAGTAGACTCTACCAAGGAGTAGTTGACTTTAATTCCCTAGTGAATGTATGGCAAGGTGCCTCATCCCATACTGCACTCTCCAATTCTACACAGTGTATCGCCTGGCAACAAGGTGGGAGGAGGCAGAGTTGAAAGCATGTTGAAAGATTCCTCATTCCTTGGGTAATGAGCCACCTATGTGTAGGTCTGCTCTCCATTTCTGTCCTTGGGATTAGTTCTCGGGGTTGGGTATATGCCAGCCACAGTTTCCTCCTCCTTGGCAACCCTCTGTGTTCCTCTCCCTCTTTCTCTCTCCCTCCCCCTGCCTGGTGCCCTCTTGTGTGCGTGCATGCACTCACATGTGTTCCCATGCACACACTTGGACACAGCAGGTATTTACATAAATGTCTATTGAATTAAAAGTATGCAGGCCACCATCCATTCCACTTTCTGGATAAAGCTCTAAGGCATAATATGTGGGTATGTCCTGATTGGGTATGTTCCTGAAAAGGAACTCTTGTTTTTCTGTCGCTGTGATGGGCAGTATTAAAACCTCTCACCCTTTTCAACACTTTTTGTGTGTGTCCTCTCCTGCGTTTCTCCTGGACTTGGTTGTAGCATGTTAGATTTCGACATGTGCCTACATGACTTCCCCTCGCACTCCTGTGGAAGTATTACTTCTCAGTAGGCGTTGTCAGAGTAGAGAGTCCCATTGAAAAGTTACTGTCACCAACATTTTTCTATCTAAAAGACGAGTACCACTAAGGCAAACACATATGTTATAAGTCAGTCTGTGGTGTGTTCTGATGGGAAACTTCTGATAGCTCTAACTTAAAAACAGGAAATATCTCAGCCTTGATTTGAGTGGGATGTGACCAAAGAGGATTTTCTTTTTCTGCAGATTTTCCTGGGCTTCTATCTTTTTCCTTTTCCCATCCCATTGTGCAAACATTCCACAAGGCAGATTATTCCACAGAGGGCTGGGTCGGGCCCTTGAACCATGAGTCCCTGTGCTGGCCAGCCCTGCCCCGCTTTCTTAGGATGTGACCAATTCTATGGTGGGGCCCTCATCGGCCACCTGCCAGCTGGTGGTGATGAGAGCTGGACTTAATGGCTTCAGCTCTTTGCTTCTCAGAACCAACAAATCATGTGTTTGCTCTCAGAGCTCCTAAGGTCTGTGTAGGAAGATAAGGTTAAAACACGTGACACTGCCCTAGCCGGTTTAGCTCAGTAGATAGAGCATTGGCCTTCGGACTGAAGGGTTGTGAGTTTGATTCTGGTCAAGGGTACGCATCTCAGTTGCAGGCTCAATCCACTGTTGGGGCGCATGCAGGAGGCAACCAGTCGATGTGTCTCTCTCACATCGGTGTTTCTCTCTCTCTATCTCTCCCCTTCCCTTCCACTCTCTCTAAAAATCAATGGAAAAATATCCTTGGGTAATGATTAACAAACAAACAAAAAAAACAGCAACACATGGCACATGGATTGAATAAGCTAGGAAATTGGGCTGCCCAGAACATGAGTGCTTATAAAGGCTTCTGGAAGGAGAAGTCAATGAGAGCTGATGGAGGGTTCGGAGAAGACTTTTCGAGAAGATGGGACTTGAGCTCATGTCTGAAGTGTGGCAAGAATTGAGGAGGAACGGGCTTTGCAGGCTAAGGAGACACTAAAGAGGCACAAAGGCTCAGGGGAGAGGGTGAGACCAGCCTGCCACACTTCCGTGGAACAGGTGGGGGAAAGGGACGTAAGGTTGGTGGGAAGCAGAGGCTGATTGTCCAAGGCTCTAGAAACCTATTTGTGGAGGCAGGAAGAAGGGAGCCTCTGGGGGTCGATGAATATAAAGATGACACCTAACCTGGACGTTTTTGAATTAAAATGATTACATTTTTATGATTATTCCACTATCATGACCCAGTTATTCAATGTAAATGCATTTCAGAATTTGGATTCCCAGATCCACAAGAAAGTATCCTTAGAGCAAACTATTTCTTACTACTGCTCCTGTGTATGGCTCTGTCGCCAGAACCATGCTTTGAAACTAGCAAGAGACCAAAGGGGCACTGTGTCATTCATTCTCATTCATTCTCTCTCTCTCTCTCTCTCTCTTTCTTTCTGTCTCTCCTAACATCCCTTACACATCGATCCAGAGAATATATAGAACCACTGGTCATGAAATGCGAGAAACCCTTCATTCAGCTTCTCATCACTAACCAAGGCCGCTTGCTTTAGGACTGTTACTGAATAGTTACCTTTCAGTCCCATGAGTCTTTACTCACTTTTACTGCATATCCAAAATATCACCCTTCGTGCTTCCTATTACTATTTGTCACCCAGTGCTGAAGCTGAGAGAGTGGCTGAGAATAGGAGAGGCAGAATTAGTTCAAGCGGAAGATCCTTGAAACCAGAGCGTAGCGTCTACCTCTAATATGATATTTTGACATAATATACAGTTAGACTCTATACTTATTCTGACAGTAGGAATTCACTAATGAAAGCGATGCATTGGCTTCACACCCACAGTCCAGGCTGGCCAGAGTGAGGTCAGCACGAAGCCATTCAGGCCTTATCATAGTAGCAGCTTGTGTAAACTCCTTGGGAGCGCGTCAGGATTCAAGGTTAAAAGTTAGATTTCTCCTATTCAGGCTTTGTGACAAAAAAAACAAGTTTTAAACTTTATACGAAATGCAAATAATTATAATCAATAACTTGGTCCCATTTTTTAAACAAGTCTGTCTAAATATGTTTACAGATATTTTTTTATCAATATTAACTTTATGTCTTTCCACTTGTATTGCATTTCATGCTCCTCAAAGCACATCTGTTATCCCATTTGTCCATGTGGGCAGTTCCGTTGAACAGTGAGTCAACTCAGTAGAAGGAAGAATCCCTTTAAGCAGTTGTTTAAGCTGGTGTGGGAGGGGCAGAGGGCGCGTGTCAGGACAGATCTGTGAATGCTGCCCGGGAAGCTCATTGGCAGTGAGTGCTGGGTGGGTGAGGAGAAGGGATCGGCTAAGTGAAATGGTCTTCAGAAAACGCCTGTGCTTCAAATGGTTCCTTTTATTTATTTTTTTAATATATTTTTATCGATTTCAGAGAGGAAGGGAGAGGGAGGGAGGGAGGAAGGAAGGGAGAGAGAGAGAGAGAGAGAGAGAGAGAGAGAGAGAGAGAGAGAGAGAGAGAAAAATGATGAGAGAGAAACATGATGAGAGAGAATCATTGATTGGCTGCCTCCTGGATGCCCCCCCCCCACCCGGGGATTGAGCCCACAACCTGGGCATGTTCCTTTGACCAGAATCAAACCTAGGACCCTTCAGTCCGCAGGCTGATGCTCTACCCATTGAGCCAAACCAGCTAGAGTCAAATGGTTACTTTTATTTTTTTTATTTATTTATTTATTTATTTTAAATTAAATCTTTATTGTTCAGATTATTACAGTTGTTCCTCTTTTTTCCCCCCATAGCTCCCCTCCACCCGGTTCCCACCCCTCCCTCCAGCCTCACCCCTCCCCCAACTGTCCTCATCCATAGGTGCACGATTTTTGTCCAGTCGCTTCCTGCATTCCCCACACCCCTTTCCCCCACAAGAATAGTCAGTCCACTCCCTTTCTATGCCCCTGATTCTATTATAATCACCAGTTTATTCTGTTCATCAGATTATTTATTCACTTGATTTTTAGATTCACTTGTTGATAGATGTGTATTTGTTGTTCATAATTTGTATCTTTACCTTTTTTCTTCTTCTTCCTCTTCTTAAAGGATACCTTTCAGCATTTCATTTAGTACTGGTTTGGTGGTGATGAACTCCTTTAGCTTTTCCTAATCTGTGAAGCTCTTTATCTGACCTTCAGTTCTGAATGATAGCTTTGCTGGATAAAGTAATCTTGGTTGTAGGTTCTTGGCATTCATCACTTTGAATATTTCTTGCCACTCCATTCTGGCCTGCAAAGTTTCTGTTGAGAAATCAGCTGACAGTCGTATGGGTACTCCCTTGTAGGTAACTGACTGTCTTTCTCTTGCTGCTTTTAGGATTCTTTCTTTGTCTTTTGCTCTTGGCATTTTAATTATGATGTGTCTTGGTGTGGTCCACTTTGGATTCCTTTTGTTTGGGGTTCTCTGTGCTTCCTGGATTTGTAAGTCTATTTCTTTCACCAGGTAGGGGAAGTTTTCTGTCATTATTTCTTCAAATAGGTTTTCAATATCTTGCTCTCTCTCTTCTTCTGGCACCCCTATAATTTGGATGCTGGTACACTTGAAGCTGTCCCAGACGCTCCTTACACTATCTTCGTATTTTTGGATTCTTTTTTCATTTTGCTTTTCCGGTTGGGTGTTTTTGCTTCTTCGTATTTCAAATCTTTGACTTGATTCTTACGATCCTCTAGTCTGTTGTTGGAACTCTGCATAATATCCTTTATTTCAGTCAGTGTATGCTTAATTTCTAGTTGGTCCTTTTTCATATCCTCGAGGGTCTCACTAGATTTCTT